AACATCCTTAAACTATCATGAGTCAGTCTCAGATCAAATAACTACTTATAATCAAACTTACCAGATGAATGAACACTTGGGAAAACATAATAAAAATCTTCAATTGTAAATTTCAGAATAAACTTTAGAAAGCATCAAGTTAAGTGACAATTGGTAAATGAAGTTGTTCTGAAACATTTGCCTTATATAAACAACATATTGTTTTTCTTGAAAGCAAACCCTCAAATCTATTTATTGAGTTTTCACAAGGACGTGTTAATGGTTCAACAAAGTCTTCATCAAAACTGACCGTAACAGCAACAATAGAGCGACTGTGCAGCACATTTTTTAAAACGTACCTCACCCCGTCAATAACATTTATGTACTGCAATCGCCCTCCATATATCTGTATATCAGCATGCCAATAATATCAGTGATTCATCAGTCAGGCTCCATTATATAGATCCTTCTCTGCCTGCTCCAACACTGTGTTTATTATTATTAATATCCAGTGGTCTGAACCTGAAAAAGTGATGTTAAAGAGCCCGCCCAGCCACAGTGTAGAATAACCTCAAGGCGATGACGGCTTTTATTCAACAATTACCAGCAAATGTATTCTGCCTGAAAGGTTTTTGTCCAAGTATACATGCATTAAAATAAAGAGCCTAATTAGCTCCTTGGAGTCCAAAAGAGAAAACAAAGCAAACAGTAAAGCACATATTACTTGATGGGAAGTGTCAGCACGGTTGTATCTCTGACCAATGACTCTGCGTGGCTTTAACTAGCCGTATAATATTATTCATGTTCCCATCGCTCACAAGGATCGTGTGGCCCTTTGCTCTCTGGGTGCTTCTTTTTTTTTTTCTTCATTGTTGAAGTCCGACCTCGGGCCTGCCTTTGTTTGTGCTTGTGTATGAGTGTGTGATGTTGATGCTGATGCTAGTGCAGGCCCCAAGGGTATAATGGCGAGGTCAGGGACAATCCATTTAGCCTAGTCACCCTGGTAATTATTCAGCATCCGTATCACATGGACACATACAAAACAAACTAATGCACATTTAAGAGGGGGGGTGCACGGAGGATGAGGGAGGGTGGCAACGAGTGTTAGAGATTACAGTGCTTTAGTGTAAAGTAAATGAATGCAAATGGTTGAGCCATCGACCTGCTGATAGAGCAGCGAGTGTGTGTGTGTCAAGGTCTAAATATGTGTATCCTCTCCCTGCTTAAGGCTATAATAAAAGGTTATTTCAGGACAGTCACTGGTTAACCACACACACACACACACACACACACACACACACACACACACACACACACACACACACACACACACACACACANACACACACACACACACACACACACACACACACACACACACCGTAGGCTGCCATCATTTCCCCCATAGGCACTTGTCCTTGTCTTCACTCACACCTTCTGCCCAAAAAAAACCTAATCACACAAACACATTTTGTGTCTCTTTCCACACACACGCGCAAACACACAGCCCCGAGCGTCACTGCCTCTGATGTTAATAAGGTGTGGTGGGGGCGGGGGGGTCCATGCCTAAATCATGACTCATAACTTGGCTCCTTTTGCAACTGCTACTGCCAGACTACGTTTACCTTGCGCACACACTCAGCGTTCCAAGGTGACCTTCACATCCTCGCCAACACTCTCTCACTCTGCCCTCACACACATTCTCCTCCTCGAACATCTAGTGTCCCACATGTGGCGCTGGGACAGATTATTGGATTAGTGTATTAACAACTCCCTTCACTCACAGATAATGACCTTTTTTTCACCGCTACTTCGGTCTCACCTTCACCTTCTACTCTTCATCATCTTTTACCTCCTACGTCAAGGACCGGCTGCAATTGTTAACAGAACAATGCATGTACTAATAATAGTAATATGTGTGACTATGTGCGGTGCTGATATTCCAGTTTACTGTGAGGAAAGTACTGGGCTTCAACATGCATGTAAAACTAAAGAAAATAGTATGCAGCGCTTGCTCGCTACACTCACAAATGTCCCATAATTCTTTGTACTGTGTTGTTTCCATAGAAACAGCCCAATCGGATTACTATGGTCAGTTGGAAACATTTACTCAATTAATTAATTTGTCAAAAGACAGAAAATTGCTCGGCAACAACCTTGATGTAATAATCTCTTCATCTACAAAGTCATTTTCCATCCAAAGCTCCTCAAACGTAACGCTTGTTTGATGACTGTCAACAAACATGGATAATGCAACGTCTCCACATCCACCGATTCTGAAAAACATTAAGCCAAACTTTTGTGGATAATGCACTGGTGATGTAATACGCAGCCAGAATCTGTATAGTTGCTATCGTGGGGAAGCCACAGTGTCAAAGCCCTGCCGATGTACCCACCCAACCAATCGTAAGTTAAGCTGCTAATCATGGCGTCTCACCCTGTTAATACATCAACGTTATAAGAGCTACGTAAAATCACAGACGCCATCTTTAGGGAAAATGTACTTTAAGTATACTAAAACTTTTTTAGTTTGGTCCATGTCCCATCTGCTAACATGCAGCCAGCCACCAGGGGGCAATTGAGATGTTTTTGCTTCAATTTAGGAGGCTGTCATATTCTCTATCTTTATATGAAAATAACAAACTTTATTTACAGCACTTTTCAAAAGGTCTTTACATGGTTGAAACAGGAATAGAATATTTCAGGACTAAAGCAAATAAGAACAGCGAGTAGATAAAAAAGACAAATAATGGACTAAAATAAACCAACAATAAAGTAATAAAACAGACAAGGCATGATGTAGGTCATACAATGGGCTAGGATTAACAAAAGGGTTTTTAAAGGTATGTTTTAAAAAGTGATGTCACAGGTGTCACAGATTCAGATGTGACATACACACAGTCACTGGTGTAAACAAACGAAAGTAACATAGCGAGGGGGGCACCTAACAGAGCTCAGTGGGATGTCTGTATAACAATTGGATTTCTATCTTTAACGACTCCTTCCACCTCACAGTTTTCTCTCTGTCCCTCTCCTCTTGCTGCTCTTCCCTCCGTCCTCACTGCTACCTGTCCACTCCCAGAGCACCACACTCACTACCTCACCACTGCGGAGTGCCAGATTCGTCCTGACAGAGCAGACAGGGTGTAGAGGCCATTGTTTTAACAGCCATTACTGCGATAGGTGCTGACAGCTATAGTGCCTGTGTCCCCCCCCTCTTCCCTTGACTGTGTCTCAGTGTGTGTGGCAACCCTCCAATTAGGACACGGTGACATTTAAACAAGGAGAAAGATGAACATGGTGGAATTTGTTGTGATGTTTTGAGAATGTGTTTCCGATGGCCAGTATGAAGACAAACATGTTCTCACTTTATGTGTGCCTGGTTTTTCTTTTTGTACCTAACTAAAGTAACAGCAGGAAGAGCACATTTAGAAAGTACTTCATAAAACAAAACCTTAATCTGACAAGAAGAGCAATTATGCACAAAGCTGCCAAGATTAAAAAGGTATTGTTTTACCAGCTGCAAGTTTTGGGAATTTCTTTTGTGACATTTGGGCAATTATATAAGTGAGACCAACTGTGAATACTAATTTGATATTTTCTTTTCAGTAACACAAAGATCAACTGCAGAATTACTCATGAGTTTTATCTTGTAACCTTAATGTGTCATACCTCCAAAGCCCAACAGTCCCCTTCAACCCTTCTCCACTGGTCAAATAACCCACCAACATCTGCCTTTTGTCTGCAATGTGAACGGATACGATCTACATTCACCCCCCCAGGTCAAATGACTCTGCAGTGGACTCTGGTTTTATCGACTCCAGCTCTGATAAGCAGTGATGGAAACATGACACCTAGGTGTGTTAATTTCTTCTCCTTTATTCTGAAAATCTAGACCTGGCCGCTGAGCGTTTTCTGCACGATGTACATTTAACTTCCAGACGTTGGCACATAAATAGGGATGAACGATTGTGTACTACTGTTTTTGTTTCATATTGGGAACAAGGCATAACAGTGATACATTCTACATGTCGTGCAAAATGTGGGCAAGACGGCAAGTGAGAGCTTCTTAGTTTCCAGAATGTTTGTCACGTCCAAAACGACTCACCGGGGGAAAAAGAAGAGGCAAACTCCTCTACTGGCAAAGGGAAAATCAATCACCAAATTGCACAAACTCTCAGCAATAGCCATGAATTAATCCCTATAGGAAATCAGTGAAAATGTTTTTAACAAATCTCCATGACTGTCTGAATCCATGACAACATTTAACAGGTTCTTTCTTGACCCTTGTCCCATCCTTCTACCAAGTTTCATCGAAATCTGTTTGGTAGTTTTCAAGTAATAAAACAAACAGGGGCGCAAACACAACCTCCGTTGCGCATGCTATTTGGTGGCTGTAGCTTAGCATGAGCTTGAATCCATCTTATCTCTTTGTTTTAATTAAATATGGTGCGTTTGCGTCTGCAGTTGCTTTGTTTCACGGTGATAAAGCGACAGAATGCAGCCGCAGCAACTGGCGTCATGATAAAAAACAGCATAGCTCAAGATAAAGCCCAGATCCACAGTAATTATTGCACCTTAAACACGGGGGTATACGCATCAATCTTTCTGGTTCATTTTAATTTGGGCAGCAGCCAGATAGAAGATATAATAGACGGCTGCAATTATGAGAACATTGTGAAATGGGATTATTGGATAATGCTTCTCATACAGTAGAGCTGTCGTTCCCAGTGAGATGGAGTTGTTTTCAGTGCGGCAGAGGGATACAAGCAATGTGGGATTACAGTGCTGTTTGATTTGTTACATAACCATTAAAGACTGTTTATTTTACTCGCTACAGTACTAGGCTTGTGACGTGGGTTTACAGGTAAATGAGATTTCTTACCGAGGATAGACTAGCGACTGAGCGCATCCCCTGTGGACCTAATGTTTCCTGTGGTTAAAGAGCCATGTCTTGTAAGATCTGTCTGTGTCAGAGACAAAACAAGACTAACAAACTTCTTCCTGTGTTTTGTTTTCAGCCTGAAGCAACACCAGCAGTAAAGCCACCGTGACAGGACACTCGGAAAACAAAGAGAGATGAAGACAGAGATTACCGGAATAAACAAATTCAGATTTCATGTCCGAGAAAGTAGTGCCGGGTAACTTCAGTGTATGTGTGTGTGTTTGTAAGTGTGTGTGTGGGTATCATAAGCATCCATGCCTGCATCTGCGGGTCATTGTGAGTGTGTTTATTTCTACCTTTGATCTAAAAATATATCTCGGAGATTTATTCAGCACCCAAGTGTTTGATATGAGTTCTAGACACGACGGCCACGGCCGACAGAGGAGCTGCGGCTGCCATGAAACTCCTGTGTGAACCACAATCCTACCAATTCAACTGATGTCGGTGCGTTGCCCAGAGCGGTGATAACCATTACAATGATCGTCATAAAGCAGCAGTTACACCAACTCTGTAACTAAACGTTCCCAAAGTGCTCCGAGAGTGATCCACGTCTCAACACAGCCACTAGTCCGTTTTACATGCATTTCCTACACAGCGGCGCTGATGATGATGCACGTATGGCTTACTCTCAGACCACTTGAGACCAACTCAGGCCCAGACGTTTGAATCCAAGGACAAGAAAAGCCCCAATGACCTCAGACATTACAGGTTGCATAAAGTATTTTTGGTTTTATCTGTAAACGTAGCGTCACTCTTTTTTTTTTTTTTAATCCATCTTTTCATGTTCCAAATAATCACAAACCTGTGTGGCTCGGTTGCGGTGCAGACGTCCCTGGAGAAAAGCAGCACAAAGACTTTTTAGCTCATGCGCTGAAGTGGACTTCCTTGTCAATCATGTACAGTTGAAAACATTCCCACGGCACTGAATACTGATGTCAGATGCAGTTCAAAGGTGACATTAGTGCCTCTCTGATGGGCGACGTGTAGATACGATTTTTTTTTATTTTTCTGTTGCAATAGCCTGAGAAGAAAACAAAATACTCCATTCCATGTAGCAGAAAACAAACAATAAATCTGGGGTGTGATTCAGTGCATGCTAAATCTACAACTTTGCGTTTACTTGCCTTTTTAAAATCCTACTGCTAGCGTGTTTTGGCAACAGCACTGCATTCTAGAGATAGCTTGGTAATGTATCTCTGCACATGAACAAAGAGGTCATCTCCTACTCCTGGAGAGGCTTCTTTTCAACTTCTAATTTATTCATCAAAAAAAATGAAACCTTTTGATGCCTAGAAATTAGACCAGTCACCGCTGTTTTAAAGGCCTCCATCTGTAGAGTCAGAGCATCTGTGAAGTGAGTTTTAACAATGGTTTGTAGCAGTGCAAGACGTTTCGAGAGGAGATACGCTCCAGTTTCCTGAGCTGGCACTCAGATTGGCCCTGAGCTGCATTTCTCTACATGGACTGAGAAACACAGCACTCAATGCTAAGCTATGCTCTGTCAGCTCTTATTGGTTCAAGCTCTGTTTTTTTTTCTTCCTCTATGAACACATTAAAAAATGGTTTTATTTTTTGCCTTGTTCATTTCACGGTTAAGAGACTGAACTACAAATGACCTGATTAGAAACTGTTTTTTTCCTCTGCAGACATTTGGATGAGTAATTGTTTTTTTATGCAATCGCACTGTAGTTATACCAACCATAACAATGTGTTTTGAAGTGAAATTGTTTTACAAAGCAAAAAAAAAAAGAGTGGTTTGTGTAAATAAGCAGTGGCGGCAGGCAAAGTTTGTGTTTTCAGAAGAAGTTTTGTATTTATATAGTGTTTATCTGCACTGAGCTACGGTAGAAAAGGGAACTTCTTATGGATATTTATATTGAAAAATACAAATATGTTGGCACTAAAAATGAGATTGTCTATTGGAGGGTGGGCCATGTTTTGAATGGATGAGCGTCAGTGAAAATAAAGCGAGTGATCACGGACACAACTGTTTTCATCAAGACGACCACCATCACCACAAAGATCTTCTGCTCAGAGGAACCTCCCATGTGACTGGTTTGCCAGCGGATTCATGAGAAAGCAAAACCAGCGACAGGACGGCAGACTGTTGGGTTTAAACAAGACATCTAAAAATGACCAACCCCTCGGTCGTCAGTAATGCCATGAAGAAGAAAAAAATCTTTAAACAAGGAGTCGTTTTGCATTTTCGCTTTGCATCATGACTGTTTTTGATGACTAATTACATGGACTCTCTCCAGCACTGGTGCATTCACAATAAAAGCGGTGTCTGTGTGTGTTGATATCACAGTCAGGGGATGAGTGCGCCATGAGTCACATATTTTAGCAGCTGTTACGTAATATATGACAGAGATGTATCTACGGGCAGGAATTGTGTGATACGATGCTTGTGGGTGGGTGTCTGTATATGTAAGACTGTCAGCTGCACTGGCAGTGGGAGCCTCGCTGTGAGCTGTGTACTGTGAGCACATTTGTAAACACACCTGATGATGAATACAACCAAGATGACAACTATATCTATTTTCTCTTGCAAAAATCCAGACCTGTGTGTTTCTTTGTCTGTGTGTTTGCATCACCGTGTAGATAAAGTGTGGAATTTGCTTTTAATGGCAGTGATTATCTTTTACTACACATAAATAGTTTAGAAGTGACAGGACAAATAAAAAGGGATACCGAGGGTACAAACTGTGAAATG